AGGCTAATCCTCCACCTGCGGCGCCGGCATTCCGGGTTCTAGTCCTGGTCAGGGCGCTGGATTCTGTCCCGGTCGCTCCTCTTCCAGTCCAGCTCTCTGCTGTGGCCAGGGAGTGCAGTGGAGGATGGCCCAAGTGCTTGGGCCCTGCACCCCATGGGAGACCAGGAGAAGCACCTGGCTCCTGGCTTTGGATCAGCAAGGTGCGCCGGCCGCAGTGGCCATTGAGAGGTGAACCAACGGAAAAGGAAGACCTTTTTCTCTCTTTCTCTCTCTCTCTCTCTCACTGTCCACTCTGCCTGTCAAAAAGAAGGGAAAAAAAAAAAAAAAGAAGAAGAAGGCCGAATGGAGAGACCTTTCGCCCGCATGCAGTAGTTTGGCCACAGTTGCTTTATCTTCCCCGCCAGCCACCTCTGCTTGCTCCCCCAGACCGTTGGAGAAGGCCTTGCAGACGTCCTGCCCTTTGTTCTAAATGCTTCGGTGTGTTCTCCAAAGAGCAAACTCGTTTCCCAGGACGATTACCAACTGAGGAAAGTTAACGGTTATCTAATACTATTACCTCGTGTGCAGTCTTTTTTCCCCGGTTTTACAATTATTTACCAGTTTCCTTTATCAGCATATTTTCTCCCAGTCCAGGACCCAGGGCAGGATCAGGTGTCCCCTGTGGTTCTGTTAGTGTCCCAGGGCTGTCCCCGGAAAGTGCCACCATCTGGGGCGGCGAGAACTCTGAGACGCCCACAGCACAGGTTCCTCCTGTTCCAGGCTTCGTGGGCGCCTTGTGGGCAGTCCTGGGCATGCCTTGGCTTGTGCCCGCGTCCTGCTGTCTGCCTTCGTCGTCACGCCCTGTGCGCCTGTCTGTTTCAGGGCCCAGATGTCCCCTTCTGCAGGACACTGGTTGTGCTGGATTAGAGCCCACCCAGGGGACTCCTGCTCACTTGGTGGCCTCCACAAAGTCTCTGTCTCCAGTCGGTCACCTTCCCAGTGCTAAGAGTCGGGGTGCAGTGCAGCCCTGTGTCTGTCAGCGTCTTCCAACTGGGGCAGTGTCTTTGTCTTCTGTGACGTTGACCCAAAGTACACGAGCCAGTTGGCTTCTAAAGGCCCTCAATTCACGTTTGTCTGACGTTGCCTCACAATCGGAGGACGCACTTTTGGCGGGAATACCTTGGGAGTGATGCGTGCTTCCCGGGACGTGGTATCCGGGTGGCTGCGAGGTTTGCTGGTTTTCCAGTTTCACATTTCCTGGGACCCTCTGTGAAGTGGGTCTTTTATTTTTTTTTTAATATTTTATTTATTTATTTGAGAGGTAGAGTTACAGAGAGAGGGAGAGACAGAAAGAAAGGTTTTCCATCTGCTGGTTCACTCCCCAAATGGCCACAACAGCCAGAGCTGGGCCTCTCTGGAGCCAGGAGCCTGAAGCTGCTTCTTGGTCTCTCACCGTGGGTGCAGGGGCCCAAGCACTTGGGCCATCTTTTACTGCTAACCCAGGCCATAGAAGAGAGCTGCATCGGAAGTTGAGCAGCTGGGACGCGAACTGGTGCCCACATGGGATGGCGGCCCTGCAGGCGGAGGATTTACCTGCTGTGCCACAGCGCTGGCCACAATGATTTGTTCTTAAATCCATGTTTACTCTGTTGGTTGCAAAACTTTTAAAAGCACAGTAAAAATAATCCTTTTATTTGATTATTGTAAAATTAATTTAGTTGAGATTACATGTAAAATTTTCAATAATCCTCGTGTGATAGAATCTATTGAGGTCATAGTTCAAAATGTGGTATAGCTTGAATTTTAGTGTTATAAATGTGCAAGATAAGTTAACAAAGGTAATTTTTAAAAAACAATGAAGTTAAATTTCACAAAGTGTATACTCCCTAGAGACTTAATCCTGCTTTGTGTTAATTTTAAAAATAAACATAAATATAGTAACATGTGCACTAAAGCTTAGCATATAATAGATCTGGTACTTGAGAGGGACAGCGGTACCCTAGTCTTGAAATTTTCTTGTAGCAAGACAGGCACAGTGGTTAGTGAGACAGACAGAGAAAAAGGTCTTCCTTTTCCGTTGGTTCACCCTCCAATGGCCGCCGCGGCCGGCGCACCGCGCTGATCCGATGGCAGGAGCCAGGAGCCAGGTGCTTCCTCCTGGTCTCCCATGCGGGTGCAGGACCCAAGCCCTTGGGCCATCCTCCACTGCACTCCCCGGCCACAGCAGAGAGCTGGCCTGGAAGAGGAGCAACCGGGACAGAATCCGGTGCCCCAACCGGGACTAGAACCCGGGGAGCTGGTGCCGCAGGCGGAGGATTAGCCTAGTGAGCCGCAGCACTGGCCTGGGACAACATTACTTTTACAAAGATTCTAAAGTAGTGGACACTTAGCTCAGTGGTTAAGACAGCTGCATCTCGGAGTGCCTGGGTTCGATACCCTGCTCTGGCTCCTGACTCCAGCGTCCTGCTAACACAGACCCTGGGAGACAGGGGGACAGCTCAAGTGATTGGGTTCTTACATCCATGTAGGAGACACAGATTGAGTTCCCGCCCCGCAGCGTTGATCCCACCTTTGGTCTTGGTCCCTTTTCAGCCTGGCATGGTCACTGTGGCATTTGGAGAGTAAACCAGCAGATGGGAGCTGTCCATCTCTGTCTGTCTTGTATCAAATACATATGAAATAAATATTTAAAAGATTCTGAAGTTTAAGCTTTTAAAAATACATATAGATTTTAAAGATTTATTTAAGCAGAATCACAGAGAGAAAGAGACTGAGACAGAAAGAGGTCTTCCATCCACTGGTTCACTCCCCCAATGCCTGTAACACCCAGGGCTGGGCCAGGCCAAAGCCAGGGTCTCCTATATGGGTACAGGGGCCCAAGCACTTGAGCCACCTTCCGCCACCTTCCCAGGAGATGGATCAGAAGTGGAGAAGTTGGGACTTGAACTGGTGCCCACCTGGGATGCTGGTGTTGCAGGTGGCGGCTCAACCTGCTGGCCTGCAATGCCAGCCCCAATATTTATTTTTTGTATGTTTGAAAGGTAGAAAAGAGAGACAGAGATGGAGAACTTCCATCCCTGAGTCCAATCCCCAGATGCCTGCAGCAGCCACCCCTGGGCCAGACCTAAACTGAGTCTGGACCCTCGCTGAGGGTGGCCGGCATCGATACTTGAAGCGTGAGCTGCGGCCTCGCCGGTGTGCACTGGCAGGAAGCTGGGTGGTGAGAGAGGCAGGACTGCGGCCCGGCACTGATCCTGGTGCAGGCGTCCAAGCAGTGTCCTCGCCACTGTGCCACCTGCCCGCCAGCATCTCTGCCCCACTGGGTGGACCGATCCTTCTGATGGCAAACAAGAGCCACCTCACTTGTTTTTCCTTTTCTGATTTCTTGGTTGGCTTTGTTTCTTGCTTCTCCGTCGTGCCAGAGGTGGTTGGGGGGCTGTCTCGGGTCTGGTGACAGACCACGCTGCTCCCTGGCCAGAGCTGTGCATGACATCTGCTCTCTGAGAGGCAGCTGAGCCTTGGCCAAACCAATTCTCGGCAAAACTGTCTTGAAATGACGGTGCTGTCTCAGGATCTCCTCATCAGAGCGAGAACCCCCTGTGCGAGTCTCTCAGCTATATTAAACCGTGTCATCTGGTTTCTGCAGGGGCCTGCGGTGACATAATTACCACCATCTTAGTTTATATCTGTACTTTCTGTCCTATGAGGAAACTGTTGGTTACTAGCCAGGACTCCTTGATCACTGGATAAAAATTATTCCTGAATCCGCACCTCTCCACGTCTTCAGCATCCCTTCTCCAAAATGCTTGCAACCAGAAATGTTTCAGATTTCATTTTTTAATTATTTTTGAAAATTTGCATACGCATAATGACATACCTTGAGGATGAGACTCAAGTCTAACACAAAATTCGTTTATCTTTCATGTGCACCTTGTACACATAACCTGAAGGTAATTTTTGCAATATTTTTAGTGCATCTGTTTTTTTTTTTTTTTAACTTATTGGACAGGTAGAGTTACAGTGAGAGAGAGAGACAGAGATAAAGGTCTTCTTTCTATTGGTTCACCCCCCAAATGGCCGCCACGGCCAGAGCTATGCCGATCCGAAGCCAGGAGCCAGGTGCTTCCTCCTGGTCTCCCATGCAGGTGCAGGGCCCAAGCACTTGGGCCATCCTCCACTGCCCTCCCGGGCCACAGCAGAGAGCTGGACTGGAAGAGGAGCAACCGGGACCAGAACCCGGTGCCCGTATCTGTTTTTTGCATCTGTTTTTTGCTTTAAATTTTTCTTACTTTATTTTTTATTTATTGCAAAGACAGACAGACAGACAGAAACCTCCCACCTGCTGGTTCACTCCCTGAGTGCCTGCTACAGTGGGGGCTGAGTCAGTCTAAAACTGGGACCCGGACCTCTATCCAGGTCTTTGGCAGGGGCCCGACTGCTGGAGCCGTCACCGCGGAGCCCTGCCTGACGCGTGGAGACGAGAGCGGGAACGGCTCTTCTCCATGTGACTTCTGGAACTGTTCTGTTTGTTGGTATGTGAACATGTAACATGTGAAAAACTGTTTTGAGACCGGCGTTGTGGTGTAGTGGGTTAAACCGCCATCTGCAGTGCTGGTACCTCGTATGGGCATCAGTTCGAGACCCAGCTGCGCCACTTCCAGTCCAGCTCCCTGCACCTGGGAAAGCAGCAGACGACGGCTGAGTGCTTGGGCCCCATGCATGTGGGAGACCCAGATGGAGCTCCTGGCTCCTGGCTTCTGCCTGGCCCAGCCCTGGCCATTGCAGTCATTTGGGAAGTGAACCTGTGGATGGAAGATCTGTCTGTCTGTCTGTCTCTCTCTCTGTAACTTTGCCTTTCAAATAAATAAAAAATAAATATTAAAAAAATTAGATAAAAGTGAAACCACACTTGAAAAAAATTTTAAAACTTTTTCATTTTAAGCCCCTGGAGCTGGTGTTCAAGGCGCTGCTGGCCCCGTGCGTTGGCTGATCTCTGTCTTGTTTTCTGCTTGGTTTATCAGGAATCTTCCAGAACTCAACCCGACGGTCTGTCCCGGGAGCCAGCAATGCTGCCCAAACCTGGCGTCTATTACTTCCCCTGGGAGGTCAGCGCCAGCCACCTCCCTGAGGGCAGTGCGCTGAGGACCTTCGGCAGGTGAGACTTGTTTTTTCACACGTGGGGGGATGTTAAATGTCACTCCTCCACCCCAAAAAGAAAACAGTTAAAGTAATTATTACAATTTTGTCTGATTCAAATAAAATGCTAAAAAAATTACTCATTGTAAAAAATGTAGACAATCTACACAGATACACAGCTTTTTGACAAAGACAGGGATGTAGTTTAGTGGGAAAAGTTCAACAAATGGTGCTGTCACTGCTGGATTTTTGGGGGGAGAAAAAATCCCTTGATCCCTACCTCACTGGGGCAAAGACAGGCCAGCTAAAGCTGAGATGTGTAGAAGTAGGCAGGGGGAGAATCCTAACAGCTTTGAGGTAGGCAAGGGCTTCTTATTATTTTTTAAAGAGATATATTTATTTTAAAGGCGGAGTTAGAGAGAGAGAGAGAGAGAGAGAGTCTTCCATCTTCTGGCTCACTCCCCAAATGGCTGCAACGGCCAGGACCGGGCTAAGCCAAAGCCGGGAGCCAGGAGCTCCACGTGGGTCTCCCAATGGGTGGCAGGGACCCAGATCCCAGATACCATTGCTCTCTCAGGTGTGTTAGGGGGGAGCTGCATCCAAGTGGAGTAGCTGGGACTCAAATCAGCACTCGAGGATGCCAGTGTCGCAAACTTTGGCTTAACCCGCTGCACCACAGTGCCAGCCCCCGGCAGGGATTTCTTAGGTGGGACACAGAAAGCAAAAACCATAAAATTAAAAAAAATTATCTATCAACAAAATTAAAAGCTCTGTTCATCAAAAGGTATCACTGAGAAAATTAAAGGCAAGACAAAGAAAATTAGACTAAATTTTTTTTCTTATTTGTTGTTACTTTTTTTGTTCTTTTTTTTTTATCCATAATATTTTTTGATAGGCAGAGTGGACAGTGAGAGAGAGAGACAGAGAGAGAAAGGTCTTCCTTTGCCGTTGGTTCACCCTCCAATGGCCGCCGCTGCAGCCGGCGCACCGCGCTGATCCGATGGCAGGAGCCAGGATCCAGGTGCTTTTCCTGGTCTCCCATGGGGTGCAGGGCCCAAGCACCTGGGCCATCCTCCACTGCACTCCCTGGCCATAGCAGAGAGCTGGCCTGGAAGAGGGGCAACCAGGACAGAATCCGGTGCCCCGACCGGGACTAGAACCCGGTGTGCCGGCGCCGCAAGGTGGAGGATTAGCCTATTGAGCCACGGCGCCGGCCTTTTTTTTTTTTTTTTTGACAGGCAGAGTGGACAGTGAGAGAGAGAGAGAGAGAGAAAGGTCTTCCTTTTGCCGTTGGTTCACCCCCCAATGGCTGCCATGGCCAGTGCGCTGTGGCCGGCGCACCGTGCTGATCCGAAGCCAGGAACCAGGTGCTTCTCCTGGTCTCCCATGGGGTGCAGGGCCCAAGGACTTGGGCCATCCTCCACTGCACTCCCTGGGCCACAGTAGAGAGCTGGCCTGGAAGAGGGGCAACCAGGACAGAATCCGGCGCCCCGACCGGGACTAGAACCCGGGGTGCTGGCGCCGCTAGGCGGAGGATTAGCCTAGTGAGCCGCGGCGCCGGCCTGTTGTTACTTTTTTTTTTCTCTTTCTCTGATCAGCTTAGGACCAAATATGGATTTATTTGCCTCCCAAAACCATTTTTATAAATTTTTATTTTTTTGAAATTTATTTACATTTCGTTTGAAAGGTAGACAGAGTGAGACTCTCCATCCGCCGGCTCACCTGCTAAATACCTGCCCTACCTGGAGTTGGGCCAGGAGCCCTGAACTCCACCCAGGTCTCAGGTGGGTGGCGGGGACCCTCACCACTGTGCCCACGTGGGCCTTAGCAGTGAGCTGGAATCGGAAGTAGAGCTGGGTCTCGCACCCAGGGACTGCAGTATGGGATGTGGGAGTCACAGGTGGTGCCTTCCCCCCTGCACCAGGCACCCAGCCCTCCTCAAAGCTTTTGAACTTGGTGGCAGTTCTGCGTGTGGCTGGAAACCGCTCTACCTTCTCTGCGCCGCAGGTTGTCCGCCTACAAGATGGCCGAGTCCAGAGTGACGCTGACGGCTCTGCACGAGTCACGGCAGCACGAGGTTCTGGTCTGCACCAGGCTGGTGGAGCCCTTCCACGCCCAGGTGGGCTCCCTGTACATCGTGCTTGGGGAACTGGAGCACCAGGCAGGTAAGCACGCTGGGCGCCGAGCTGGGCCGGTCGTCTGAGGGCCCCGGCGGGCAGCGGGCTCATGACCGAGGGCTGCCTCTTGAGGTTAACCTGCTTCCAGGTCAGGGCCTCTTGGGAAGCACCACCACTGTACTCAGAGTGGACCCGCCAGGGGCAGCCAGAGAGGGACGGTGCACAGTCTCCCCGACGGGGAGGAGAGAGCGAGGACCCCACAGCACGCCCAGGCCTGCGGAGGGTTGGCTTGGAGGTTTGTGAACCTGCCCACCAGCTGCCTGTGATCGAGTCTTAGGATTGCCATTTCACAGATGAGAAAACCGAGGCTCAGAGAGTGGGGGGTAACGGGCCAGGAGGTCAGAGTGAGAAAACTGGCACAAGGGAAGGCCTTCCGCAGCCTGGGGCGCCGGCATTCGGCACAGTGCCGGCCGCATCCGACGTCGGAGCGCCTGGGCTCGTGCCCAGCTCCAGCTTCCTGCTAATGTGTCCCTGCCTCCCACACGAGGGACCCAGAATGCGGTCCCAGCTCCTCGGTTTGGCCTGGCCCAGCCCTAACCGTTACTGCCACAGGGGAGTGGACCAGCAACTTGAGAGATCTCTGTATCACTCTGACTTCCCAATTAAATAAATAGATAAATATTTTTAAACAGAAGTCACTAAAATCCTACCCAGAAATAACCACTATTAGAATTTGCTCTGTTACCTTTCTCTACTTGTATCTGTTACATTTCTATTTCATTCTCTTTCTTTTTTAAAGATGTATTTTATTTACTTGAAAGGCAGAGTGGCAGTGAAAAGGAGAGACAGGGAGAGATATCTTCTAACTGCAAGTTCACTTGCCAAATGGCTGTCACAGCCAAGGCTGGGCCAGGCTGAAGCCAGGAGCCAGGAACTTGATCCTGGTCTCCCCACAGGGATGGCAGGGACTCAGAAATTTGGACTGTCTTCCACCGCTTTCTCAGGCACATTAGCAGGGAGCTGGATTGGAAATGGAGCAGCTGGGACTTGAACTCACACCCCAGTGTGGGATGCTGGTGCCACAGGCAGTGGCTTAACCCACTGCGCCACAATGCTGACCTCTGGTTTGCCTTCACACAGCTGATCTCATACTGTATGCTGTGTTTGCTTATTTTGGGTTAGCATTATTATTATAAACATTTCCCCACGTCTAAAATTTTTGTAGGTCTAACATTTAGCAGCTTTATAATATTTTATAAACTCAGTGTATATCCAAACTTGCTCAAGCATTAGACATTTGATTGCTTCCATTATTTGCTATTAGACATATATTGTACATTTATTGGTTGTATTATGATAGGGGCCAGCACTGTGGTGCAGCAGGCTAGGCATCCCATATGTGTGCCGGTTACAGTCCCGGCTGCTCCACTTAAGATCCAGCTCCCTATTAATGCGCCTGGGAAGGCAACGGGAGGTGGCAGAAGATGGTCAAGTGTTTGGGCCCCTGCCACCCCCATGGGAGACCCGGATGAAGCTCCTGGCTCCTGAGCCCAGTCCTGGCTGTGTGGCCATCTGGGGAGTGAACCAGCAGATAGAAGATTCTCTCTCTCTCTGTCTCTCTTCTCTATGTAGTGCTAACTTTCAAATAAACAAATAAATTAACTTTAAAAAAGAAATTACATATATTCAGTCAGGAGAACATTTTGTAGACACCAAAAATTGTGCTCTACATATGCTACTGACATAAAAAAAAAAGTGTACAAAATATGAGCAGGATTAAAACCAGTTCTCGGCTGGCGCCGCGGCTCACTAGGCTAATCCTCCGCCTTGCGGCGCCGGCACACCGGGTTCTAGTCCCGGTCGGGGCGCCGGATTCTGTCCTGGTTGCTCCTCTTCCAGGCCAGCTCTCTGCTGTGGCCCGGGAGTGCAGTGGAGGATGACCCAAGTGCTTGGGCCCTGCACCCCATGGGAGACCAGGAGAAGTACCTGGCTCCTGGCTTCAGATCAGCGCGGTGCACCGGTCGCAGCACACCGGCGGTGGCCATTGGAGGGTGAACCAAGGGCAAAAAGGAAGACCTTTCTCTCTGTCTCTCTCTCTCACTGTCCACTCTGCCTGTCAAAACAAACAAACAAATAAAAAACCCAGATCTCAAACACTTGTGTGTGTGTGTGCAAACTGTTGAAATTTTTACTTAGTACAGAGTTGGTCTTCTGGGTGCAAAGTTAATTGAAAATGAATCTTAATGGAGAATGGGGCTGGCAAGGGGAGAGGAAGGAGGCAGGTGGGAGTGTGGGTGGGAGAGCAGGTATGGTGGGAAAAATAACTATATTCCTAAAGTTGTACTTATGAAATTTTTATTCCTTAAAAATAAATTTAAAGATCTATAAAAAAAAATATGAGCAGGAAAAAGCAACTGGCAAACCCGTGCGTGTCGCGGGATACCCGGTGAGCCCTTGGCCAGCCGTGCGTGTCGCGGGATACACAGTGAGCGCTTGGCCAGCCGTGCGTGTCGCGGGATACGCAGTGAGCCCTCGGCGTCAGCAGGTTCTGCACCACAGCTTCATGCATCCACGGAGCAGCCACACTCACATTTGGAAAAAGAAAAACCGTGTCTGTACGGAGCGTATACACACCAGTTCTGGTCATTGTTCCCTAAGCAGCACGGTAAACTACAGTTACGTAGCCTTCACGCCGTAGGAGGTGTTACAAGTAATGTAGAGATTTGGAACTTAGGTGTGAATGCCACATCACTTTATATAAGGGACTCGGCTCCGGGTATCCACAGGAGGCCCTGAGCCAGTCCCCCGCCAGTACCCAGATTCACCAACACATTCCTTATAGTTGTTTCTGGGTGGTGGGATTCTTTTTTTTTTTTTTTTTTTTAACAGGCACAGTGGATAGTGAGAGAGAGAGACAGAGAGAAAGGTCTTCCTTTTGCCGTTGGTTCACCCTCCAATGGCTGCTGCGGCCGGCGCACCGCGCTGATCCGAAGGCAGGAGCCAGGTGCTTCTCCTGGTCTCCCATGGGGTGCAGGGCCCAAGCACTTGGGCCATCCTCCACTGCACTCCCAGGCCACAGCAGAGAGCTGGCCTGGAAGAGGGGCAACCAGGACAGAATCCGGCGCCCCGACTGGGACTAGAACCCCCCGGTGTGCCGGCGCCGCAAGGCGGAGGATTAGCCTAGTGAGCCGTGGCGGATTCGTTATACTTAGCATTTTACAATAAAGAGACCTTGTGTCATGCCTGGGAGGATTAAAAAAGTAATGGGCCAGCGCTGTGGCGTAGTGGGTAAAGCTGCCATCTGCAGTGCCGGCATGTTGTGTGGGCACCAGTTCAATTCCCAGCTGCTCCACTTCTGATCCAGCTCTCTGCTGTGGCCTGGGAAAGCAGTAGAAGATGGCCCAAGTCCTTGGGCCCCTGCACCCACGTGGGAGACCCGGAAGTAGCTCCAGGTTCCTGGCTTCAGATCAGCCCAGCTCCAGCCACTGGGGACATCTGGGGAGTGAACTAGAGGATGAAAGACCTCTCTCTGTTTCTCTGCCCCTGCCTCTCTGTCAGTCCACCTTTCAAATAAATAAATCTTAAAACACAAAACAACAACAGCACAAAGTAACAGCAATGAGAGCCCTGTGGTTAGCATTCTCGTCCACTAACCTCGTCTGTTCCTGGTGCTGTTTCCTAAGGAATTCTGGGTAAAGCACTCCTGCTTTCTGTCTCTTCTGAAGGTCCCAGGACATTTCTTTCTTTCTTTCTAAGATTTTATTTATTTATTTATTTGAGAGGTAGAGTTACAGAGAGAGAAAGAGAACAGTCTTCCATCTGCTTGTTCACTGCCCAAATGCCCACAACAGCTGGAGCTGGGCCGACCTGAAGCCAGGAGCCAGGAGCTTCTTCCAGGTCTCCCACACGGGTGCAGGGGTCCAAGCACTTGGGCCATCTTCTGCTGCTTTCCTGGGCCACAGCAGAGAGCTGGATCGGAAGAGGAGCAAATGGGTCACAAACTGGCGCCTGTGTGGGATGCCGGCGCCGCGGGAAGAGGCTCAACCCACTGTGGCACAGCGCCAGCCCGAGAGTTCATCTTGACTCAGGCTGAAGCCTTGGCTCCCGGCTCCCGGAGTTGCTGCCGCAGTCCCATTGCATAACTGACTTCAGAAAGGGTGGGCGGGGGGGGGAAGGGCCTCTGCATATAAACAGCCCTAAAGCATCTCCCACGCCCCACCTGCAGGGGGTCCCCGGCCTGGGGTCTGGAACTGGAAGACCCTTATGCAAATACAGGGAGGGTGCAGCTCAGGTGGGACAGCCAGGATGGTGGCAGGTCCAGAGTGGGTGTTTCCAGTACTGGCCAGAAGCCAAATGGGAGGGGGAAAAAAAACTTTGTAAATATAACCTTCATTTTTTTTAAAAACAATTTTTTTTTATTTGACAGATAGAGTTAGTGGGAGAGAGAGACAGAAAGGTCTTCCTTCCGTTGGTTCACCCCCCAAATGGCCGCTACAGCTGACGCTGCGCCGATCCGAAGCCAGGAGCCAGGTGCTTCTCCTGGTCTCCCACGGGGTGCAGGGCCCAAGCACTTGGGCCATCCTCCACTGCACTCCCAGGCCACAGCAGAGAGCTGGCCTGGAAGAGGGGCAACCGGGACTAGAACCCAGTGTCCTTGTGGGATGCCGCCGCGGAGGATTAACCAAGTGAGCCACGGCGCCGGCCCCATAACCTTCATTTTTAAAATGTCCCATTTTACACAAAAGTAGAATAATAGAATGAATCTCTGTGCACCCATCACTCAGGTTCAGCAGCGACCCGCATCCTCCAGTTGGGGGGGGTGGTTTCAGCACTGCCCACACTTATTTTTACTATCTAAAAATTTTTATGGATTTGTCTGAGAGACAGAGAGAGCTCTTAGCTGCTGGTTCACTCCCCAGATGGCCACCACAGTTGGGGCCAAAACCAAGAGCCAGGTACCAGGTGCTCAGTCCAGCTGTCCTGCGTGGGTTACTCGGACCATCGCCGCTGCTTCACAGTGTGCACGTAGCAGGAAACTGGAGCTGGAGCCAGATTTCCCACCTGGGCACTATGACGTGAGACACGGGCATCTCAACTGCTGTATTTAAAGCAAATCTAAGACATCCTTTTATTTTCCCTATAAATACCTCCCGTCTTCTGGCAGCCACGGCAGCTGAGGTTGGGCCAGGCCAGAGCCGGGAAGCCAGGAACTCCATCCAGGTCTCCCACGTGTGTGGCAGGGACCCCCGGACGCCAGCTGTCACCTGCTGCCTCCCAGGGTTCGCGTTAGCAAGAAGCTGGAATCAGAAAGGGAGCTGGGACTGGAACCCAGACGCCCCCGAGTGGGCTCAGATGTGCAAGCGCTGGCCTAACTGCTGCGCCAGACGCCTGCCACGGCGGGACAGTTCTTGAGAGGAGTCACTCGGGAGAAAGGGTTGAATGTGAGGGCCGCCTGGTTTTAAAGTCTGGAGGAAACAATGGATCCAGGCTAGGTCACCGCTGGCTGCTAAGCCGATTCGCTAAGATGGACGGGACAGGAGCTCCACGGCCGCCGGTCCCTAAAACAGTACAAACAGGAGGGCACTCCCGGGCCATGTGCCTCCAGTGACGCAGGAGCGTCTGGACTCTGCCCAGAGCCCTCTTCGGCCCCTGACCGGTCAAGGCTGGGCAGAAGCAGCCTCTGAACACAGCCGGCTGCTTCTCATTCTTTGCATCGTAACCTGTTCTTTTTTTTTTTTTCCCCCTTTAAGATATGTTTTTTTCTTGATCCTGAGTCATCCATGTTCATCAAACCACAGCTAGCTCAGGGAATTAAAAAAAAAAAAAAAGATGATAAGGGGTGAGGGGCAGCACATGGCGCCCTGACCTTTGACCAGGACAGAGGACACCAGGTGGCAGCTTTAATCAGGCCTCCGCGGACCAGGTCCCAAGTCCTGGGGGCACAAAGCTCACTCCCACGTGGATCTGGTCCTGGGCCAGGCTGGCAGTTCCCAGCACGCCTTCTGAAACGCTCCCAAGCTAAGGAGACCAAAAAGGAGAAGAGATGCCAGCCGCGGGGCGGAGCTCCTGCCGGCCTTGGGGCCTCCCCCGCCCCCGCCGTGCCTGGACTGCAGCAGGTGGCTGCCCGCGAGAGCGTGCCGCCAGTCCCACCGGTCCTGACCCATTTCCTGTCCCCTGGCGCCTCAAGGCCCCCCTTTCCGTGCCTCCTGGACTAAGCTGCTGCTTGCTCTGGGCCCTTCTGCCACCTGGCTTTGCCCCAGTGCAGCTCCTCCCACCTGGCGCCCGCTCAGGCCTCCAAACCACACACCCTGCAGAGCCCAGAGGTGGGGCCCAGCTCCTGCCTGCTCCTCAGGCTTCCTGGTGCCCATCCCTCCCCTCCGCCCTCACCTCTGCCCCACTGCTGCCTCCCACACCCACAGCCGCACCTTGAATCTGGTCTTTCCAGCCCCCCCCACCCCGTTCTTTGACCCCTCGGGACCTGAACCTGCGACTCTGTTCAAACGCTTTCTTCTGGATCTTTCTGTCCTCATTTCAGTCAGTTTTGCTTTTCCTTTTCCTTCCTTTTTTTTTTTTTTAATATATAGATTTTTTTTAATTTGAGAGGCAGTTATAGAGAAGGAGAGAGAGAGGTCTTCCATCAGCTGGTTCACTCCCCAAATGGCCACAACAGCCAGAGCTGGCCCAGGCCGAAGCCAGGAGCCCAGACTTCCATCTGGGTCTCCCACATGGGTGCAGGGGCCCCAGCACTTGGGCCGTCTTCTGCTGTTGCCCAGGCACATTAGCAGGGAGCTGGATCATAAGTGGAGCAGCTGGGACTCGAACCTGTGCTCCTGTGGGATGCCTGCGTCTTGGGGGAGGCCTAATCCCTTGTGCCACAGCACCGGGCCCTGATACCCAGTCTCCTCCCATCCTGGTCGGACCGTTGGGTGCAGAAGACCCTAAAGCTGTGTGGCTTCGTGGCTTTGGCGCTCACTGGGCCCCTCCACGCTGCCCGCAACCCCTCTGCGTCCTGCTCAGCCCCTCCTAGGCACTCAGCTGCCACAGGCCCCTCACTACTTCCCCTGTTCCTCTCCGCCTTTCTCTCACCTCTTACATCCCGGTGCACACTGAGCTGTGGGCAGCAGTCCCTCCCCACCCACCCCCAGCCCCTTCCCTCCCCTCAGAGAGGAAGTGGGGTCCCTTCCCCCTAAAGGGACACCCGCCACCTATCACCACGGGTTCTTCCCTCTCCGCGTAGCGGGCACATGGGCCGGCCTCTCTGTGAAGGGAATGCCAGTAACGGAGTTCCCGATGGCCGTGTCCTCCCTTCCCAACAGACAGACTTGACCGCCAGCACCCCTTTCATCTCCAGCTCACGCCTCAACCTGCTGCATTCGGACTGCTTTTTGCAGCCTGACAGCTTCTTCTTTGCCCTAAGCTCTTGATCTTTGCAAGAAGGAATTTCCGGCCAGCACCCCCCCCCTCCCAGCGCCCCCTTAATCTTAGTCCTTCCCCTCCCCCACTGCGTTCTTGTCATTCCTTCTATGGATGGCCTCCCCCCAGGGCCCTGTCTGCCCCGACCATTTCTTAAGACTCCAATCCAGATTATTCCACAAAGTAAAACTCCACGGGAGGATTCCCCCAGCTGCCAGCTAACTGCCAGGCAAGAAAATCCCCCCCTGGGTGGGTCCACCCGGCTATGTTGTCCTGTTGTCCTGAACCCCTGCAGCTGCTTCGGGAAAACTCAGGGCCGCAGGTGGCGATGAGCTGGACAGCAGATACCCAGGGGCTGAGGCCTGGGTGATGAGATCCAACAGTCTACACACATCAGTGGATCCAGATACTGACTCCCTTGTAAGCCACACCGAGCCTGGAGCTGGGCGGACCACGCAGCACACGGACAGCCTCGTATTTCTTCCAGCGGTGGCCCGTGTAGACAGCTGGATTCTAGACGGCCTGGAAGCCCTGATTTCTGCCCCTGGGTGTGTTGAGTCCGTAAGTGGCCTAGGCTAGCGGGGGAGGCTGCACCTAACCAGAGCGCCACTATCTCAGAAGGCATCAGAAGAGGGGACTTTGTCCCGAAACAGCCGGGGTAGTCACTCAGTCTGCCGGGCGAACCCCAGATGTCTTTGTGTTCGGTGCCACCTGGACTGACGGAGCCTTCCCTGTGTGTCCTGTCCCCCACTGCATCTGCCGGAAGTCCCTGAGCCCTGTCTTAGGGCGGCTGATGTCCCTGTAGGACAGACTCGCCTGCGGCCCAGTCCTTGCTTCTCTCCCGGCCCCGACTTCCTGAGGGGTCCTGCCCTCAGCACACGTGGAGCTAGGATGGGGCTTGAGACCCCTCCTCTGCCTGGCATTTGGGTCTCAGGAGGGGCTGGCTGGGGCCGAGGCGGCAAAGGCAGGGAGGAGAAAGAATATTGTCCGGGCCCCTCTCTGGAGCAGCAGAGTGTTCTGGCTGCCCCCCCCCCCCCCACGCGCCGAGTTCTGGATTCGTGCCTGCGGCACACAGGGGTGCACAAGTCTGAGCCAACACCCCATAGGCCATCGTTGCCCCCGCTCCAGCTGTTAAAACTTTGCACCAGGCAAGTCAAGGGCAACAGCCAGAACGTGTCCCCGCAGTGCCGTGCTGTTTGTGTCTTTCAGACGGAGGTGCCGTGGTGAAGGCCCGCGTGCTGACCTGTGTGGAGGGCCTGAACCTGCCTTTACTGGAACAAGCCATCCGGGAGCAGAGGGCCTACCTGCAGGAGAGGCTCAGCGGCCACTAGGCCATTGCAGCGCTGCCCAGGAAACCGCGCACACCCCTGCTCCTGCGGCCAGGCCCCTGGAGCCGCTGGAGCCGCTGGAGCCCCTGGTGCTGCTGTGCCTGCAGCCTCTGCCTGGAGCCCCTGGAGCCCCTGGAGCCCCTGTGCCTGCAGCCTCTGCCTGGAGCCGGAGTAGATGAACCAATCCCCCAGCCCTTCCCTCTGATTTGGGATTGTCCCAGGAATAAGAGCCCAGAGAACAGACAGCAAGGTCTGAACCCCCCACTCACCAGCCCAGAGAGTGCAGGAGACCAAACTCTGGGGTGCTGGGGCTGAGATTATGTGGGGGCCATGGAGGGTTCCAGAAACTTCTTGTGAATAAAGGCCCAGCCAGTGGGCGTGACCTGGTGAAGCGTGTGTGGTGCAGTCCCGGCAGGGTCCTGGAGGGGGCGCCGTGGAGCAGGCAGCGCCCCTGACTGAAGCTGCAGCCCGCCCTGGACTGGGGACCTGAGGAGAAAGCGCTGGGGGCCCAGGGCCTGAGGTAGGGGCCTGGGGAGCAGGGGGCCACCCTGGCAAGGTTCCGCCCTCGCAGGAGGCTGCGCCTCTCCAAACAGGCTGGGCCGAGGCCTTGGGCCCTGACCCTGTGGCCACAGGCGGGTCTGTGGCTTCAGAAGCCCCTCCTGGCTCCTACCGCTGCCCCCAGTGGCCCTTGTCCCCTGGACGGCCCTTCCGGGCAGCCTTGTGCCCGGAGAGCCGGGGCCTGGCTGGGCAGAGGCAGGGCCTCCCACAGAAGTTTGGGCCCTCCTGCATTCCGTAGCCAGGCTCTGGGCTTGAGGCCTAGGGGTCCTGGCTGGGCTGGGCTGGGCTGGGCAGGGGGCAGCCCCCAGACCCCCAGACCCGAGCCAAACTCCCAGGCAGGATGGGCTGGGGGCAAGAAGGGCGGGGAGCTGGGCAGCCTGAGCGGGGGCCGGGCAGGGCGCTACCTGGAGACTGGAGGGAGCCAGCAGGGGCGCTGGGCGTGGGGCGCCAACGGCGGGGCGCCGTGTCTTTCCCGGGCAGCTCTGCGGACATGGACGTGTTCCAGAAGGTGGAGAAGATCGGAGAGGGCACCTACGGGGTGGTGTACAAGGCCAGGAACAAGGAGACGGGGCAGCTCGTGGCCCTGAAGAAGATCAGGCTGGACTTGTGAGTTCTGGGCAGCGAGGCACCAGCCCCCCGTCACTCCCTCATGCCAGCCCCGGTCCTGGTCCTGCCCGGGCGCAGCCCGACGCCCTGCCCGGCGGGCGGCCCTGCTCGGGGGAGACTGCTCGGAAAGCTCCTGGAGATGGGACTGGAACACACATGTATTTTGGGCGGGAAGTTTTTTAAAAATCATACACTCGAGGAGTCCTCAAGAGAGCTTGTAGAAAAGGCGTGTTACGGAAACGCCATGCATAGATTTCACAAACTTTTGGACCAAAATAGAAATTTATTTTTAAGATTTAATTTGTTTATTTGAAAGGCAAAGTTAGAGAGAACCATCTGCTGATTCACTCCCTAAATGCCGCCATGGTCAGGGCTGGGCCAGGCTGAAGCCAGGAGCCAGGAGCTTCCTCTGGGTCTCCCACGCGGGTGCAGGGGCCCAGGGACTTAGGCCATCTTCCGCTGTTTTCCCAGGCCAGTAGCAGGGAGCTGGATGGGAAGTGGAGCAGCGGTGGTGACTTGAACCGGCTCCCATAGTGGAGGCCAGCGCCTCAGGCGGAGGCTTAACCCCTTAGACCACCATGCCGGGCCCAAGGCTTCTCTTTTAATTCCATTTCCATGAACTCTTGGAAGCGTCCAGGGAACACAGGTCCCCGTTGTGGGCGACAGGCCACCTGCACGGGCGTGAGGGACACGGAGTGAGTCGGCGGGGCCAGAGCAGCCCCGGCCTCCTCCCATCGCCAGGCCCTCTTCCCTGCAGGGAGACCGAGGGGGTCCCCAGCACCGCCATCAGGGAGATCTCGCTGCTGAAGGAGCTGAAGCACCCCAACATTGTCAGGTGAGCCGCGGAGGGCGGCGGGGAGGCCGGCGGGGGGAAGGCCGGGCCCTGACCCCTGACCCCTGACCGGCCCCTCGCGTCCAGGCTGCTGGACGTGGTGCACAACGAGAAGAAGCTGTACCTGGTGTTTGAGTTCCTCAGCCAGGACCTGAAGAAGTACATGGACTCCACCCCTGCCTCCCAGCTGCCCATGCACCTAGTCAAGGTAGTGGGAGGAGCCCGGGCGGGCGCCCCACCCCCACCCCCACCCCCACCCCCACCGGGCCCAGCTGCCCCGCTCACTCCCGCGCTCTGGCCACAGAGCTACCTGTTCCAGCTGCTACAGGGCGTGAATTTCTGCCACTCGCACCGGGTCATCCACAGGGACCTGAAGCCCCAGAACCTGCTCATCAGCGAGCGGGGCGCCATCAAACTGGCGGACTTCGGCCTGGCCCGGGCCTTCGGGGTGCCCCTGCGCACCTACACGCACGAGGTATTGCAGGGCAAGGGGGCGCGGGGGCTGCCCCGCCGAGGCTGCCCCGCACGGAGCCATCTCCTCGTCCTCACACAGGTGGTGACCCTGTGGTACCGCGCCCCCGAGATCCTCTTGGGCTGCAAGTTCTACTCGACGGCTGTGGACGTCTGGAGCGTCGGCTGCATCTTTGCAGAGATGGTAGAGAGAGGCAGGCCCGGGCGCGTCCTGCTCGTGGGCGGGCGGGGGCTCGCTGATTGTCTTCTAGGGGTGGGTGTGGGGTGTTGGGGACCGACTGCTGGGCTGAGCAAGCCGGCCTTATTCTGGAAAGCTGTCCTGAAGGGCCCTCTCTGGTCGCTTAACGGGTAGAGGCTGAACTTCCCTTTTAGGAACCGCTTGGGCCCAGATGTGCTTCTCATTTGGGATTTTTTTCAGATTGTGAAATATTTGAGGACAGAACCTAAGTAAACATGAAAGTCATTTATATAGCCTGCATATAATTTTATACAATATTTTAAATGTTTGTTCATTGATTTTTTTTCTCGAAAAGCAGAGTGACAGAGAGAGAGAGAGAGAGAGAGAGAGAGAGAGAGAGAGAGAGATCTTCTCTCCATCTGCTGGTTCACTTCCCAAATGCCAGCAATGCCAGGGCTGAGCCGAGCCACGGGCGGGAGCCCGGAACTCCACCCAGGTCCCCCACATGGGTGGCAGCCGTCTCCCGCTGCCTCCTCGAACCTGTGCTCTGATACAGAACACGGGCGTCCCGAGCAGGGTCTTAGCCATTGTGCCAAAGGCCCACCCTATGCAGTATTTTCACTGTACCTGCATTCCGACTGTGACCCATCGTGTGGGGTGGGGTGGACTTTCTCCCCTTGGGACGTCTGTCAGCACTCTGAAAGTTTGGGATTTGGGAGCTTTTCTTTTCTTTTCTTTTTTTAAGATTTTATTTATTTATTTAAGAGGCAGAGCCACAGAGAGAGGGAGAGACAGAGAGAGGTCTTCCATCTGCTGGTTCACTCCCCAAATGGCTGCAACAGCCAGAGCTGAGCCAATCAGGAGCCACAAGGGTTTTTTTTGGGTCTCCCACGTGGGTGCAGGGGCCCCAAGGACTTGGGCCATCTTCCACTGCTTTCCCAGGCCATTAGCAGGGAGCTGGGTCGGAAGTGGAGCACCCGGGCCATGCGCCCTGAGCCAGTGCTTATATGGGAGGCCGCCAGTGCAGGCGGCGGCCTTACCAGGAGTTTGGAGCAGCTCTGACTTCAGACGTCTGGATTGGCAACGCCCAGTCTGTACTGGATTCTGTCGCGACGTCGTCTCTTCTGCTCCGCTCCAGGTGACGCGCAAGGCCCTGTTCCCCGGTGACTCCGAGATTGACCAGCTCTTCCGTATCTTTCGCACTCTGGGGACGCCCAGTGAAGCCACGTGGCCAGGGGTCACCCAGCTGCCCGATTACAAAGGCAGCTTCCCCAAGTGGACCAGGAGGGGGCTAGAGGAGATAGTGCCCGACCTGGAGCCAGAGGGCAAGGACCTGCTCGTGGTAGGTACGGGGGCAGGAGACATCCCCTTGAGCAGCCGGCTTCTGTGTACCCCCAGCTCGTCCCGAGCCCGAGTGGCCCCTTCCCTCACCTTGCTCATAGCTGCCTGCCTCTGTGTGTACTGAGTTTGACCTGATAAGCCCAGTGTTCATCTTCCCTTTTGTTTATTTTTTTAAAAGATCTACTTACCTGAAAACACAGAGTGACAGATTTCCCACTTGCTGGTTCACTGCCCAAATGGTCACAATGGCCAGGGCTGGGCCAAGCCAAAGCCAGGAGCCAGGAACCCCACCCTGGTCTCCCATGTGGGTGGCAGGAGCCCAAGCACGTGGGCCGTCCTCTGCCGCCTTCCCAGGCGCGTTAGCAGGGAGCTGGGTCGGAAGCGGAACTCAGACCGGCGCTCTGATGTGGGATGCGGGTGGCGCAGGTGGCGGCTTAACCCGCTGTGCCACAACGCCCACCCCTCCCTGCCCCACCGCAGCTAAGTGGCCTGGACAGGAGGGACATCCGTGTGTCCTGGGCACAAGGGGGGCTGCCTCAGCTCCAGTTACCTGCAGGGCGGCTCAGGCCACGTCTCCCCTGGACTCTCCAGAGGTGCTCAGTGCTGGGCTTGAGGCTCTCGGCTCCGGGGCATGGGGGGCCGGGAGGGGAGTTCTCCTCCCACCCCCACCCCCGGCCCGGCCGTCCCCAGGCCCCACCTGCCTCCTCCCTTCTCTCCAGCAACTCCTGCAGTACGACCCGAGCCAGAGGATCTCCGCCAAGGCCGCCCTGGCCCACCCGTACTTCTCGCCCGCCGAGCCCTCCCCGGCACCCCCCGAGTGCGTGCTGGAGCGGTTCTGCCGCTGAGGGCCCGTCTGAGGAGAGGGCGGGCTCTCGGGCGCTTGGCGTCCGTCGTCTGAGGGCTGAGTTTGGGTTGGCCCCGCCAGCTCGCTCCAGGATCGTTACTGGGTTTGATGTTGCTGTTCCCAAAAAGACACAGGTGCTTCGCGCAGGAGGGGGTCGGCTGGAGATCCAGCCCCTGGCACCGGGAGAGCAGGTGCCGAGGTGGGAGTAGGGAGCCTGCGGCAGCTGTGGACAGCGCTCCTGGGGCCCTGCCCTGCCCGCAGCGGCGCAGCCAGGCCGAGGGAAGGGTGCCCCCTGCTGGTCTTTTTGGATTTAACAAGTTTTGGGGAAGCGTTGAGCTCCAGTTCAGAGTTCCAAGTTAAACCAGGGGGCGAGGGACTGATGTCAGCGGCTGTCACCTCGCCCAAGACCCACGGATGGTTTGCCTGTGTTGACCACTGAATAAACGTGAGATTGGCTGCTTCTGTCCACGTCGTGGCTTACTGACACGGAGGAGACTGGCTCAGGGCTGGAGGCCCGAATGAGAGCGTGGGGAGAGGAGGAGGAGGGTGGTGCCCCTGTGTCCCAGTCCTGGGAGAACGCCCCCAGCCCCCCACACCCCAGGCAGGCGCCCTGGGGACGTCCAGTCCCGGTGCTGTCCCTGTGCCCAACCTCAGGCTCCTGCAGGAGCAGACAGGACACGCCACTGGGAGAAATCGTTTATTGGAAGCACTGGGTAGGGGAAAATCGGACCTGCTGGTTTCCTGGGCTGGGGATGGACCTGGCACCGAGGCGAGGGGCGGGAGCCCACCACCACCCACAGAGGCGCACGGCTGGGGGGGCCCTGCCTGGGATCAGGCTGCTGCAGGGACAGGGTACATGTGTCCTCCCCGGTCAGCGCAGGGCACGTGGCAGGCTGGGGGAGGCCACGCGGAAGCAGCGGTACCCCTCCAGCGCGGCGGGGAGCAGCAGCAGGCCGCTCAGGGGGTCCCTGCAGCAGCGCCCCATGGCCTCCTTGTAGCTCAGCCGCTCCTTGGAGATGGGGTCGGTCAGATCTTTCTCGTAGCTGGACTCGTCCTGCAGGAGCCGGGCCAGCTCCTCGCTGATCATCCCGCAGAGCACGGCCTGCGGGACGGGGATGCGGCCCGTCCTCTTGGGGTCGATGAGGCCCCCCGTCAGGTGCTGCACCTGCAGGTGGGGGAGCACGCTCTCCTGGGGCACCCAGCCTTTCTGCACGGCCTCTCCCACTGACAGACGCTTCTTGGAGACGGGGTCCTCGATGCCCGTGAAGGCCTTCTGGGCGTTGAGCAGCCGCTGCGTGGCCGTGGTCTCGATCAGCCCCCTCTCCACCGCCTTGTGCACAGAGTAGCGCTCACGGCTCAGCAGGTCCACGATGCCCCCCGTGGCCGCCTGGGCCTCCAGCAGCTTCTGCCCAGTGATGGGGTCCAGCATGTTCTTGGCCACAGCCGTCTTGATGCTGCACTTGTTGTCCGTGGTGGTGTCGTAGACCCCGGCGATGGGGAAGCTGTCGTCGGCGAGCCCGAAAGAGAAGCCGGGGGAGGCGAGCGGGGACTTGGAGATGATGGAGCCGATGGAGAGCGAGGAGCAGGGCTTGGTCTCGCCGGCCACGAGCAGGGCGAACTCGGAGATGGGGAGGCGGCCGTCGCGGTACAGGTGGAACTCCTCCTTGGAGATGCGCCGGCAGCGCAGGGCGGCCTCGATGGAGTACTGCTTCCCGCTCTTGCGGTCCCGCAGCACAGACTCCTCCCCGCAGGGGCCCGAGGTGGTCACCTCCTCCCAGTCACACTCGAGCTCCTGCAGCTGCAGGTACTGGCCGCGGTCGATGACGCCCCTCTTGTAGGCCTCGTACGGGGACATGTCGGCGCCCGTCTCCGGCTCCAAGATGCAGATCCTGGTGGAAAGGTTGGTCTCGCGCGTCTGGGTCTCCTGGCTGAGCTCCTCGCGGCTCACCCTGGCCTGCAGGTCGCGGAGGGTCCTCTCCTTCTCGTGGAGCTGGTCTTTCTGCCGCAGGATGGCCGCCTCGAGCTCCGAGAGCTCCCGGCCCCGCTGGGCCGCCTGCTGCCGCTCGCTCTCCGCCTTTCTCGTTCTCCGTCTTCACCTCCTCCTGCAGCCGCAGCGCCTGCTGCTCCAGCTCTCGCAGCTGCTGCCGCAGCCGCCCGCACTCCTGGCTCGCCTGCTCCCGGGCCTCCTGCAGCTCGGCCTCCTCCCGCGACCAGGACCGCCCCAGCGCCTCGGCCCCGTCGATGCGCTCCCGCAGGCGCCGCGCCTCCTCCTCCCGGGCCTGGCGGGCCGAGCGCGCCCTGCTGAGCGCCTCCCAGGCGCGCGCCCGCTCGCCCTCCAGCGCCTGGTCCTTCTCCACCCTGATCACCTCCTTGTAGATGGTCTTCTCCTGCGACTTGGCCGTCCGCAGGACGTCGATGCGGACCTGCAGGCCCTGCGACTCCCGGCGCAGCTCGGCCGCCCGGGCCTGCTCGCGCTGCAGGTCCCGGCGCAGGGCTTCGGCCGACTTCTCCACCTCCGGGTCCTTCTCCAGCTTCACCAGCTCCTCCGTGATGATCCTCTCCGGCCCGGCGCGAGGCCGCTGCTCCAGCTCCTGGACGCGCAGGGTCAGCCTGCGCAGCTCCCGCTCCACGGCCAGCTTCTTGCCGCGGTCCTCCCCGAAGCTCAGCATCCCTTCCTGCTCCTCCACGGCGGCCCGCAGCTGCTGTACCTCGCGCTCCAGCTGCCGCCGGCGGCCCGCCTCCTCGTCCAGGCTGCGGCTCAGCCGGCTGTGGTCCTCGCGCAGCCGCGGGTCCCTCTGCGCCACCACCACCTCCCGCACCACCAGCTTCTCCTCCGGCCGCCGCCTCTGCAGCAGCAGGTACTTGCTCTGCAGCTCGTGGAGCGCGTCCTCGGCGGCCCGGCGCTTCTGGGCCACCTCCCGCAGCTCCTGGCGGAGCCGCCCGGCCTCCTTCTCCAGGACCGGGTCCTTCTCGTGCCGCACCACCTCCTTGGTCACCGTCTTGGTCTCCACCTTGGCCCGCTCGCGCCTCCAGGCGTCGCGCTCGCCCTGCAGCCGGATGAGCTGCTCCTGGGCGCGCCCGTTGGCGTTCACCAGCTCGTTGAGCTGCTCCTTGAGCCGGTCGATCTCGCGCAGCACCTCGGGGTTCTTCTCGTGCCTCACCACCTCCTGGGTCACCTCCCGGAACTCCACCGCGGGCTTCTGGGCCCGCAGGACGGCCAGCTCGGGCAGCAGCCGCCCCACCTCCTCCTCCACGCGGCTCCTCCGGCCCGCCGCCTCCTGCAGCTGGGCCCGGAGCCGCGTGATCTCCTGCTCGGTCTCGGGGTCCACGCGGAGGATCTCGTGCACGCGCTCCTGGAGCTGCACCTGGGGCTTCTGCGCCGCGGCCGCGCTGTGCCGGCCCCGCAGCTCCTGCAGCTCCCGGGCCAGCGCCGCGTTCCTGCTCCTCTCCTCCTGCAGGAGGCTCCGGAGCCGGGAGGACTCCTCGAGCAGCCCCGGGTCCTGCTCCACCGTCTTCACCTCCTTCACGATGACCTTGGGCTCCACCGCGCCGATGGCCCGCTCCAGGTCGGCGATGCGGGCCCGCAGCCCCGCCGCGGCCTCCTCGGCGCCCTTCCTGCGCGCGGCCTCCTCCTGGACCTGCCGCCTCAGGGCCCCGGCCGCCTGCGCCATTTCCGGGTCCCTCTCCACCTTGACCACTTCCTTCACCACCACCGTCTCCTTCACGGCGGCCTCCCGCCGCTCCAGGGCCAGCAGCTCCTCCTTCAGCGCGGCCAGCCGGGCGCCCACGACGCCGCTCTCCTCCTGCACCTGCTGGATCTCGACGCCCAGCTGGGCTGCCTGGCCGTCCAGGCTGGGGTCCCGCTCGACGCGGGTGACCTCCTTGGTCAGCAGATGGGGCTGCCTGGCCTTCCTCTCGCTCTGCAGCCGGGCGAGCGTCTGCGCCGCGGCCTCCAGCTCTGCCTGCAGGCCGGCCCGCCTCCTGCCCTCCTCCTCCACCTGGGCCTGCACCCTGGCCAGGCTGCTCTCCAGCTGCGGGTCCCGGTAGAACTCCACCACCTCCCTCTCCTCCAGCCTCTCCACGGGCGGCTGGGTCCGCAGCCGCAGCAGCTGCGCCCGCTGCTCCTCCAGCTCGCGCTGCACCCGGGCCACCCGCTGCCTTTCCTCCTGCAGCTGCGACCTCAGCGTCTCCGACTCCCTCCCGGCCTGAGCCGGGCTTGCCTGCGTGGCCTCGCTGAGCTCCTTCTGCAGAGCGAGAGGGAGAAGGCTTAGCTCCGGGGGCAGGGGGAGGGAGGATAGGGCTCCCTCAGTCTACGCCCCGCCCTGACATCAGGGGCCCCTGCCTGCTTCCCGAGACCCCCGGGGGTCCCTGGAGGTGGAGCTGAAGACCTGAGACGCGTGGACGCGGGATTCTGAGAAACCCAGCCAGTGGTACTATGTTAGGCGGCCGTCAGGCCAAGTTGCATTCAGAGGTGTGAACTGAGGGGGCTCTGCCTTCTGAAACAACTCCCTTTCCTCCGCCACCCAGAAACGGGGCCGTCCTCCCCTGGGGGGGGGGTGTGTGCTAGAGTACGGCTGGGCTTAGGGAAGCCACCGAGTCACCAGCAGCCACGGCGAGGGACAGAGCCCCAGGTGGCCTGGCCCCAGGGTGGAACCTCGAGGGAGAGAGTTGTCTGCTGTCTGGGCTTGCAGGGCCTGTCCCCCTGCCCAGTGGCTAAGCCGTGACCACTCCGGACCCACCCTGGGGCAACTGCAGCCTGTGACACCTGCTGGGGGGAGAACGGGCGAGAGGCGGGTGGGGGGGGAGGGGGGACCCTCGCCCAGCCGGCGCGGGCGGCGTCTCTACCTTCTCCAGCATCTTTCTAGCAAACTCCAGCTGCTGCAGCTGCTGCTGCTGTGCGGCTGCAGCCTCGGTGTAGGCCTTGGCCAGGTCCTTCTCCTGAGAGGGCAGAGGGGGGGCGGAGGCGGGGTCAGCGCCGGCCTCAGGGCAGCAGCCCTGGCGGAGGGACGGGCCCCGCCTCACCTGGGCCTGGACGCTGTCCTGCAGGGGCGCCACTCGGGGCTTCTTGGGGGCCGACGCTGCCAGGGAGGGCTCCAGGGAGCAGCGGTAGGTGTCTGCCTGCAGCTGATAGTCCTGAACAGGGGAGAGAAACCGGCCGCAGGCAGGGGGGTTCACTGGGCCGGGGGAGGTGGGGCTGGGAGCGCGAGGCGGGCGCTGGAGAAAGAGACACGGGCAGTGAAACCGCTTACCTGGAGAGCCGCCTGCAGGTCCTGGGCGAGGCGGGACACTGTGGCGCTGTCCTGCTGCCGGCCCTGGATCTCCTGCACCAGCCTCTGGCGGGGAGCGAGCGCGGGTCAGAGAGCTCACGCAACACCCCGCGCCTGCCTCTCCCACCCACACCCGCTGGGGGCCGCACCCCCGCCCCGGTCCATTGCTGGGGCAGAGCGGGGCCCTGA